TACCGCAGATTTTGACAGGTGCTTCGAGTTCCAAGAGATTTGGTTGTCTCAAGAAGATATCCCTAGAGACAAAACAGAGTTGTTTGATCTCTGTTTCAGACAACTGAACAATCTTTCCTTGTTTCTCTCTAGCTTCAAGCAACCGATTGATCACCGAGTTTAAAGCAGTAGCATCCATTAAGAAACAGAGCAACAACAATGAGACTAAACAACAACAAAGAGAAAGCTAGAAGATTTATAGTAAACAGAAGCTATTGAATATATAGAAAACAAATGAAAAAGTTTGGAGCTTTATGTTCTTTTATGCTTTGCTCTTTGAGATAAGGAACGGTGATTGTCAAATTGAAGAAGAGCTTTATAAAGCCGCGTTGAAGAATATATTCTTCTTCCTTTTTAGCAAAAGCCCATGAGTTAAAACCTTACCTACATTGCTTTAATCTCAACTACACATCATGTAACAACTAGATGCTAACTAATCTATAAACACTTTCTTCGTTTGTTTCATTGAGCTTTTCAGGCTCAAATGCAACCCCGGTACATCGTGCTTCGGATTCAAGATCTTTCCGAAAAGAACGAAAAACGGTCTTTCTTCCTTGACAGTATCAATTTTTTTGGATTCAGGGTAATCCTCAAAACTCTGTTTTGTTCACATCATCATATCAAAGCAACTTGGCTAATCTACAAGAACATATTCGTTATGAAACTACAGGATGTGAGAGGACACCACAGGAATAACGAGAGAGAAAAAGAGAGGGCGATTGAAGAATATTATTAGTTTGGCTTTTGCCCTTTTCTTCCATTAGAAACCCAAAAGAGAGAAAGGAAAGATTCCAAAGTTAGGAGGAAGACAAGAGTGATGCCTCCTCTTACGACTTCTAGATCATTTCATTTTCTTAGTTTGTATCTAATTAGACTAAGATACTTAGAACAGAAAAGATCAAAACAAAATTCTTCCATTTCCTCACATAATTCCACAGATGAAAGTTAAACACACACACAAAAAAACGCTTAGTTTTTGCGGTATAAACTCGAAAAACAAAAACAAAGAAAGCATAAAAGGGTTTGGATGTGTATCACTGATCAGTCATAAACAGCAAGCTTCTTATACTCCTCACCTTTAATAGCTAACCACATGACATCTTCAGGATTCACAATACCACCTTCCTCGAGAAACAGAGTCAGTAGATTCTTCGAAAACCCGCTAACCATAGCCACTCCTTTCTGATTAGCAACCACTGGTGTAGCTGACGAGTCTCTTAAGTTCCAAAATACCATTTCCGGGACGTTCTTAAAACCTTTCTTCTTATACTTCCTCTGAACCACCTCATAATCTGTTTCCCACTTCTCCTTGGACCGTTCCTTTGCTGTCTTCAACCGTTCCTCCAAACTCATACTGTAATCCACCTCCACTCCTGTTGCACTATCGAACTCCATGTCGCTGAACACAAACAACCGCTTGATCATCTGATCATCTGTTAAGCTATTCTCGACTGCAACCTCTAGAATCCGGTCAAACACCTTCTGGAAATCAGTGTTCATTCCCCAATCCATTTCCCGGACAAACTCAGTCTTTTCTCTCAGGCTCGAACCCGTGACTACATGAAGCTGCGGGTTCTCACTAAAGGTGATAACTTTCCCTTTCCACGGCTCCTCATTAAGTTCCGAAACCAATAACCCGAGTGCCACACAAACATCCATAGGTGTACCAGACATGCTTCCCGAGACATCACAAACCGCCAACGAATTCTTCAGCTTCCCTTTCTTAGCAAGATCATCAACCATTCTCTCCCATTGAAGCTCTGCAACTTCAGCACCAACATCGCTCCCACTATCATCCTCCAACTGTTTGATAATCTCATGAGGAAGCAACGCACCAGCCGCAATCTTCGCCTTCCCGGATTTCACATCCTCCAGAAACTTCGTAAACCTCTCGCTATCATGTTCCTCAAAGAGCTTCTTGTAATTCTTCATAGCCACAGAGGCAACTCTATTGTACTTCAACAAATTCCATTCCTTTGCACTCATAGACAATTCAGGCAATTCGAGAGCTTTATGCAACGGCACAAGAACTTGTTTCCTCAATCTATCTCTAATCCGATAAGCGTAATGCGCTTCTTCGATTCCTTCATATTCCTCCTCTCTAGGGAAAATCCTCCTCGCTATTGCCTCACATATCAAAGTAGTCTTATCATACGAAGAATCAACAGAAGGACACCATTTCGAAGCTAAACCAATCTTATTCAGCTCATTCGAATACAAATACTTCAAATCCGATTTCAACAAATCAGCAAACAAATCCGCAATTCGATCAAAGAGTAGTCTGTAATTACCATCAGAGTTATACCTATCCAATGCTTTCTTCGCCTTCTCCAACTCTCTCTGTTTCCTTAAAGCTCTTGCCTTGATCTTATCGACATGAACACCAATCTCAAGGATCTGATCTTCAATTTCACCAGAAATCTCAGAGCTTTTCTTGCCCTTCCTCTTGAATTTCTTCTGAATCTTCTTCCTCCAAACCCGATTCTTCCCTCTCTCCATCTGTTGACCTTCAAGGATCCGATACAGAATCTCAGGCAAATCTTTCAAATACCCAAAATCAACAAGAGCAGGGAGATTCAAAGCTAGTGTCTTTGGGTGATTCTCGTAAAGCCAAAACGCAGCGGTGTAAAACCCTTCTTTGTCTGATTTCCCAGTTCCTCTAACTCCACGGAGATTGCAGACAAGCTTCAACGTAGTCAACGGGTCGTGAGACCAAGAAAGGACCAGCCTTTGGATCAGATCATCGGGGAGAGTATCGGGGACGATGTGGAAGAAGAAATCGAGACATGGGTTTCCAGAGGAGAGAAAAGTCGGCGAGAGATTCTCGGTCAGACCCATCGGTGGCTTTTGTCCGAGGTTTAAGGTAGCTGTCTGAGAGATCAAACTGTTGTCATCGGAAACAGAGACTTCCGGCGAGTTGTTGATCGCCGGTTTGGCGCGGGGTGTATCGGCCACGGCGGATACGGAAGGTGGGCCCAGAAGAGTCGGAGTAGAAGAAGCCATTGAAGAAGAGAGGAAGATGATTGTGATGGTCTCTGACTATGTTGTGAATTTATGTTAGGGTTTTTCTTATTGATCGATCGGAGGGATTTGGTTCGAAGCATTAGGAGACGTGCGTGGCAACTTTCTCAGATTTGCTTTCTTTGTTTATTTGAAAATGCCTAAATGAGAGATGTTATAAAAATGTCATAAATGCCATTATGCCACGTCCCCAATACTCTTCCAGTATGCCAGTCGGCGAATTTATCGAAAATGCCTAAATGAGGTGTTATTAAAATATGAATTCAGAAAAAGAAAAAAAAATTATGATAATAGTTTACTGTAATCTATGGTATCATAATTTGAGTTCATTTTATTTGTTCGAAGGTAGTTTTGGCAAACAAAAAAAAAAAAAAGGTTAAAAATGGGTAGCTAGCTAGGCTTCAATCCAAATAACCAAAATTTTATACCCAATTAGTAATCAATGACTTAAACTAGCTATCATCCTATAGCACTGATTGACAAGCATATTTATTTCCTATTGTTTTTGGTAGGGCTGGGCAAATTATCCGTTAAATTTGATCTCATTCGCTATTCGTTTTGATCCGATCCGAAAAATTTGGATATCCGTTTTGAAACAAAGCAAAGCAAATAACAAAATTTAGTATCCGTCTAAACCAAAACAAATCACAAATACTAATTTTAAAAATCCGAATACCGATCCGTATTTTACTTATATATACATATAATATGGTAGATTTGTAACATATATTTACATTTTTTTACTTTTAAATATAATTGGCAAGTATATTTATAGTAAAAATAGGTAGATACTAACTTTAGGTGAAATATATTTCTTAAATAAAATATATATTTTATTTGTCACCGTTTTAATTTTTCACTTTTTATTTTTTTATTCTATCGAATAAATTTAGATCCATTTTATATATTTATTCATTAATTAGTTTAAATCTTATATTAAAACTTTTGTTTTGAAAAAAGATTATGGTGTTTTAATTTTTTTTGTTTAAAATAAATATCCGTGAAAATCTGGATATCCGCAAATATTTTGAAAAAATCCAAATATTTTTCGTAATCCCGGATATCCGAAATTTTTCGAAACAAAGCAAATCAGAAAATTAGATATCCGTCAAAAACAAATTGAATCACAAATACTGCATTTTTTGGATATCCGATCCGCGCAAATGCCTAGTTTTTGGTGTATATGAATTCTATGAACATGGATTCATTTTTTAAATAATTAAATTAAAAAAATTAGATAATCTTTTTTTTATCATTGTATCCAACAATGATTAAGTTTTAAAAAGATTATATATTTTTTAAAAACAATCAACACTAAAACTATATATAAATATGTCTTAATCATTTTGTACTATTAAATTTTCGATATCAAATATTAATTCTAGTGCTTTAATGGGCAGGGCCAGATCTGAACCCATTTATTTGAAACATTTAAATTGGCCCCCATTCAAGAGGCTCCACTTATTAAAAAAATAGATTATATGTTAAGTTTAGAATAAATTATCTCCACTACCACAATCTCAAAACTTTCTTTTTCAATCTACCACAATTGCAAAAATATTTCCACCAATACCACAACCTCAACATAAAATGACAATTTTACC